ATAGTACATGTATATATGTATTAAGTACTGCAAAGAAATAGTATGTAAACATAAGCTGAAAAAGTGATTGTTTAGACTTCTTCATTAGAGATATACAAGCTTTCATTAATGAAAAGTTCATTGTCAGATTACCCTGATGTTAAGATATGGAAATTAATTATAAAGAGGTGGTGGTTATTAATTTCACAATGCGTACAAATGGCAGAAAGTTTAAAAGTGGGCAGCCAATTTTGATCTTAATTCCCATGTATTTGTTGGCTCATATTTTTAATTTGCCTTTAGTTTTGCCAATATAAGTGGCTTAACAGTCACCACAAGTGAATTTGTAGATGATCAATGAGCATATAGGGGTTGGCAGAATGTTATTAGTTTTAAAAAGTTTCCAATTCAAAAGGATGATTGGACAACAAGATGTAGTTTAATTTGTGGATAAAAGGTTTTTAATAGTTTGTAAATCTGTCTTTTAAGAATAAAACTCTAAAAAAGGAATTACAAGAAGTAGAGAAAATTTTGCAGTAGCACGTGGTACCTCATTAGTTGCTATTTTGCTTGTGAAAAATTTACAACTTAATTTTTTTAGGACTTGCATGGATTAACCATTATTTTTTAGGGTGTTTTGTTTAAATTTAATTTCACAGTGAGTTGAGGAAGAACTAGATCTTATATTATAGACTCTGTTTAGGAGGTTTAGTACAATATTAACTCTGAAAGTTGGGTAGAAAGTTGTCAAAGCAGGTGTAAAGGCCTGTAAAAGTTTTTTTCTGTAGACAGATGTAGTAATCTGTTCATTTAGATGGTTAACTTGGACAACTAGAAAGGAGAGTTGGCTGTTGTCCTCAGTTTCATATGTAAATTTTATACTTGGATGTCTGAAGTTAAAGAGTTAAAGCAATGTTGCCATGACACTCCTGTTCCTCATTATACAACTTCCTTTCATTTTAGTTTTTCAATTCTTTTTGTAATGTTGATTGGAAAGTTCCATTTTATATATCCAATCAGTTTCAACTTCATTGATATTCATTAATATATTTCTTTTGATACATAACTTTACATACTGCAGCAGTCACTTCTGGCTATGAATTATAATAAACACTGCAGAAATTGAACAATTGTTTACCAATTATCTGGGATTTGACCTTTCAAAATAGCACTAAATTGTCCCTTTGTTGTTCCTCAAATGTTACGTTAACATAGTTTGTTTTATATCTATTTTCTTTTTAATTAATGAATCCTGGGACAGAAAGGTTATCTCAAAGGAATAAGTTATGTAAAAGGTGATGTTACTAAAGTTTAAAGATTATCCAGGGGACTATTAGGATAAAGCCCTCCAATTCATTTCTATTATATTCTGAAAATAATATTGAAGACACACATGAGGCTTGGAAAAAGTTTATATTTTATTAAGAGGGTGATTTACTTGTGAAATGAGTTGCCCTCAGCAGAAGTGAAAGCCAACACTTTACAGGTGTTTAAAAGAGTGGAATTGATATTTCCTTTAAAGTACAAGACAGGTTTAAATTTTTAATTTTCCAAGGGTGAGTATACAGGACAGCTTTATAAGACCAAATGAGCCGTTGTTATTTGTAGGCTATATTTTCACATTAATCCCTTTCAACTATAGCCTTGATCACATCCATTTGTTTCTGAATATTACTAAATTTAATTTATAGTATCTACTCTGCTTATATTTTAATTTTATACACTTATCTTTGAAACTGTTTTCAATTTGTTATGCTCTAAACCAGTGTTTCTCAACTATTGGACTGTCACATCCATCTTACCATGGGATTTCATGAAAACAAACAAAATGGACAGAATATTCACATTTAAACCATTTTTTGTTTTACTTGCATTTTAGTGATAAGCTATAGTTTAAGAAGGTAGCAAACCAGTTCCTGATATTCAAAGGGCTCTAAACCTATTTCAAATATTTTTGTTCTAGGTATCCTACCAATTTGTTAATTCAGAAGTTCCCAAGATCCTTCACCACTGTACAAGTTTATTTTAAACTATCTTTAATGAATATATTTAGAATTGACCCAAACACTCTACTACCTAGTCTACTTAAGTATAACCCATCTCTAGCATATTATTCATCTTTACTCTGAAAACTAATCCCACAGGTTCAAACAGCTTACCCGTTGCTCTAAGCATATCTCTGATAATCTTTCATTTAAGCCTTGGATCCTGATAAGTAATTATTTCCTGCCTGTAACCTGAAGGAGCACTCCTGAAAGTGCAACACATCTACTTCTATCCCTAAATCTCTGAAGGAGAAATTTATACTTCTTAAGTAGCTTTTCTAATTTATAAGTTTTTAATATTTTTTCCTACACATACTACAAGAAAAGAGTATGTTCCTTGGTTCCAGGAACTAAACTGATTATATACACTATAATGTCTTATACTAATTTACAGTTCTAGACTTTCCATGCTCCCCCTAAAAATACCTACAAGTTAATGAGGGAGACTCCTATTATGTAAACTTAATGATAATTTCATTCCTCAATGCAAGTCAAAGTTTCATATCTATTAGAAATTGGTACCAGTATGTTAACTGAACTTTTGAACCTATCTCTACAAGTAAAGAAAAAACTTTTCAAAAAAGGAAGTAAATGTAGGGATGGCTAATACCAATCCTTCAAAAAGAATGCAAACATGATAGTAGGGATGGCATTTGTATCATCTCTAACTAATACTAATAGCACAGGCACACAGTGTAGTAGAATGATAACTGACAAAAATAGGATAAACTCAATTGTGATTGAATAGTTATATATGTTGCTATACGTTAATATTTGCCTGTGCTATTATGTAAGGATGATGCAAATGCAATCCATACTATCTTGTTTGCATTCTTTTTTGAAGGGTTAATATTACCCACCCTTACATTTACTTCCTTTTTTTGAAAAGTTTTTTCTTTACTTGTTTTTTTTTTAATGTAGTGTTTCAATAGACATAGAAAGGTTGTATTTATAACCAAGTTCTAAATACAA